TCATTACATTTTAAAAGTTACTTTAAAAAAAATTTTTGATATTTTGATTACAAATGATATAATACATATTATTCTAACAAAGAGTTCATCTGCTTCATCACGTAATGACATAATACTTCCTTGTTTAATACTGCAAAATGCTAACTTGTATCATTAATAAACATTTATTAACTACCCCAGTGGCACCGACAAATTTTAGCGGTCACGTGATCGATTTTTTGATGATCATCTCCAAAAATGGCAAGCATATTTAACGAAAAAAAATTTTCTTTTTATTTTTGAAATAAAACTTAACCCAGACATTATGTCATTTTAAAACTCACACACTATATCTAATTTTTCTCGTTCTGCAAGTTTACTTAGGCAATAAAGGTAGGTTTTGGATACAGATTTTTGTAAAATTAATTATTTACGAATCATCATATAAAAAGTCAAAATCCATATCCGAACCCTACTTTTATCACCTAGGTAAACTTGTAGAGTGGGCAAAAATACACATTTCTTGTAAGTTTAAAAAATGTATGATATTTGTTATCAAGTTTTATTTTTATTTTTTATTTTTTCGTTAAAATTAACTTATCCATTTTAGGAATGATCTGCGAAATCGATCACGTGATCGCTAAAATTTGTCGGTGCCACTGGGGTAGTTACATTTATTAACGATACTGCGCCACAATAAATAGATTTGATTTTTATTTGATAATTGATTTAAAATCGATTCTTGTCAATTTTCAATAGATACGATTTTAATCGAATCTTTTCCAATTCCTATCTCCCTCCCCTGTTTTTAGATTTTTTATATAAAAAAAATACATGTAATTTAGGCTGAAATTAGATAAATCTTTAAGTCTTGACCAGAATTATCATCCAAAATTTTTGCTCTTTCTTTTGATCAAAATTTTGGCCAAAATTAATGGTAATTCTGGCTATGTATTTTATTTTATATATTATTTTTTGTCCTCTTTCTTCCTAAATTGAGACTCCTATATTATGTTAAATAAAGAATTAGCTTGAAGTGGTCTAAGCGTACTATATAGAATAAATCTAATAATACTAAATTTTATGGCCCTATAAAAAATATTGTCCAAATATTATTCAGTTTTTTGTTCAAAAAATTGACCTGTTCTGAACATTTATTACTTGACACTTATTGGACATTCATCATAATATTGTACGTTTTTTATATGGTCAAAAATTCTCAATCTTCGCATCTTATATTAAATTGTAACAAATATTGTATAATAGCGTGCAAGTATCCAGAAAATTAGCTCTATTCTGATTTCTAAATATTTATCAGACAAACATTTTTTATAAGGTGAAAAAAAAAGTGGATTGATGTAAATATATTTAAATACCAGAAATAATATATGGTTCATTTTAAATAAACCAAAAATGTTTCAAATTTTTCATCCCTAATTGTTTTTTAAAATCTGTTAATTTGTATTTATACTTAAATAAACATTTTAAATTGACTCAACAAATTATAATCCAGTGATTATTAGCCCATTATGTATTTTTTTAATTAACTGTTTAATTTATTCATTTACCTCACCCTCAAAAAATTATAAAAATATGATACAAATGAATAAACAATTTATGTAAATTTTGCTGTTATATCAAAATATTTTTAAAAACTATAAAATAAGGGCAAAAATTTAAATATTAATTAATATACGAACTAATTAAATAAATTAATTAAAACTAAAAACTAAATAAATTTAGAATATTTACAATAAAAAAAAAGATGAATTAATTAAAATAAAATTATTGATATAATATCAATCCTTCCATTGATTCTAAATATTAACAACCCTTTAAAACATTGAGGTTAATAGTTATGCAGAATTACTGAATCTGGCTTAGTTTTAAAAAAAAAAATTAGAATTATAAATAAAGCACTGTAATTATATTTAGTACTAAAATATACTGAAATTCTATTAAATTAATAATATATATAATAATGGTAATTCTTAACAATTAAATAAAATAAATAAATTAGGTTTAATTTTAAAAAATATAATTAATTTATCTATTATCTGGTATTAATATAAAATAATTCTTTCTAATATTATTCTTATTTTCTGATAAATCAATATTTTTATTATTTTATTCAATTGGCTAAAAAATTAAGAATTTTAAGTTTAAAAAATTTTTTTTAAAAAAATTTCTTTAATATCTTGTATATTTAAAAGTTCTAACCAATTTTTTCTTTTTTAAGTCCCAACTTTATCTTAACTGTTGCTAAATATAAATAATCATCAACTATTATAAGTTAGCTTCAATTTCAGTTTTTTGTTTCCTATAAAACTCTTAGCAATCATCCTTCCTATAAAAAATTTTATCTATTATTTCTGTAAAAACTCTGTAAAAATAAGCCTTTTATAAATCCATTCATGGAAAATACAAATAATTTGATAAATTCTGTTATTAATTCCAAAAATATAAGCCTTTTACAGAAAAAAAATGGAATAAAAAAAAATGGATTGATTTTTTTTACAAAGTCCACTTAAATTATTTTATTTACATAATATTTCAATATAGTTTCACAACTAAACAATTAATTAAAATTGATTCTTCATAAGTAAAATTTGACTTTTTTTCAATAAATCCTATATATATTAATTATATATATTATATAATCATCAGCTGATTAGCATCAGAAATTAACATCCATCTGAAATAAAATTCAATTAACTTATTATTTTCCAATATTTCTGAAAATTATATATGTATATAAAATTCTTTCTCTATATTCTATACTTTTATTATACTATTAAGTACTATCAGCTAATTCTATTATAACTGATTAATTAACATTTATTATAATAATTATAGATGTCATAGATGTTTCATATGTCTAATCATCCTATATAAAATATAAGTTAAATAGTAATTCCTATAAAAAGTCTTTATACTTAAAATATACTTAAAATTTTATTAAAATATACTTAAAATAAATATCAATTTTAATTTGTGATATACTTATAATATATCTAAAATATGCTTAAAACACTCTTAAAATATACTTTTAATATATATTTTTTGCTCAAATAGGCAAATACTTAAATTATACTTAAAATATACTTAAATTAGAATTTAAATATAATATAAAATTATCATAAATGCAAAAAAAAATATTCAATTACTATACAAATTCATTCAATTGGAATAATAGTTTTATTAAATAGCTATTATTGTTTATCTGGCTAATTTTAATATTAAGTTTAGTATAGCTTCACTTTTTAATTTATTTATTTAAAAATATGTTAACTAATTTTCTTACTATTTTTTTATTGTAGTTTTAGGATTATTGGTATATTGGATGAATGGAAAATTAAAATAATTGTAGATTTATTTTAATTAAGGTTTTGGATTTGATGGTAAATTTTAGATATTTATTTGTTTTATTTTATTTTTATTTTTTTATTAATTTTAATTTTTTCTACTTATTCATATAGATTTGTTAAATTTATTAATTTTTTCCTTTTTTTTTTATAAGTTCTGGTAATTTGAAATTTGAAATTTGAAATGATAAGTTTTATTACAAAAATTTTGATTTTTTATTTATTTTTTTTTATTTGATTGAAACATTTTATTATTTTTTTTGTAGGCTTTGGATCAGATATTTGAAAGATCAGATCAGATTATTATTACAAAACTTATTTTATTTTTTTTTATATTATTTTTTTTTGTAGGCTATAGTTTGTACTTTGTAAATTTAGATCTTTAAAGTTTTTAGAATCGAAAGGATAAGTTTCATAATTTTTACTATAAAACTTTCAATTTATTATTATTGGGAATATTTTACTAACATTTTTTCTTTTCTTATAAATTTGGAACTTTAAGATTAAATTATAACTGATTTAGTATTAGTATTATTTATATGTTAGATAATTGCAATATTATGTTTACTGATTAAAAAATACCATTACTATATGCATTTATTTTTAATATCAATATACTGTAGTATTATATAATGAAGGTCACAGTATCCTGAGAATGATACAGATTTCAGAGGTTTTAACCTTATACTTTCACCATTATGTGAGTTTTTATTATTAGTAGATATATATAAAACATATAATAATTAGGTATTTATCATATATAATACCTAGATATTTATTAAATTATTTTAAATAATATAATTGGTAAAAAATGGAAGTTCTTTTGTGTAGGATACTGTGCATAGAAAGTACTATGGTCACAAAATACAGTACACATTTTTATACACTATATACAAGCATAGCAAACATTACTATTTTATCATTTTAACAATTTTAATAATCATTTATCGATCAATTATTCAATTTATCACTTTACTATAATAAATTAGCTAAAATCTTACATAATAATATGTGCTCAAATAGCCAACATTTATTTAAATTTACTGCATATTAAATTTTATTAAGATTGCATTATTATTGAATAACTTCTACTAGTAGTAACTTTTTGAATTTTAATAAAATATTGTTTTATTAAGTTAATTGGAAATTTTATACATTAGTATTGAGCTTAATGATAAAACTCACTGCAAGTTAATAAATTCTATTAGAATTGCATTATTATTAAATAAAACTTTTTAGTAGTGACTTCAAGTTTTAATAAAAATGTATAAACTTACTTTTATTTAAATAAATTATAAATTTTTATAATTTGACTATTGTTAATATAAAATTTCAAATTGATTATCTATATTTTGTTCTAAAGTACTTGTATATTTTCATCATTACTTTCACCTTTGTTTTCTTTTCAACTAAAGATATTTCATTATCTTTTAATGGAGTAGTTAATTTTGCTATTAAGACACTAATATTTTTTTGAACTCCAAATGATAAATAATTAAAACAATTATTATATTTACCATTGCATAAAGCTAAACATTCTTTATGAAAACTATACCTACAAATCAAAACAATACCATTAAATGAATCTATATTATTAAGTAATAAACAATTTTTTGCATCACAAAATTTATTATTAGCAGGTTTATGTACCACTTATTACAGCTGATGATAATGGAGCTGTAATAGAAGTAAGTACATCAGCTTTATAAGTAACATTTAAAGGTTTACTATCAAGTTTTAGTACATCTATAGCTTTATTACTCTATGTTTACTGTCTAAATTAACTATAATTGGAGCAAATCCATCTGACGTTATCGCTTTTTGATCAATTTCAACTAAGTACCAACTGCTATCATTCCTGGAAGTATATATCCTCAATTTAAGCTAATAACTTCTGTGCAATTAGTGCCAATGAACTCTAAGTCTCTACCAAACCATCTTTAATATTATGCTAATATTAATATTTTTACCATTCAACGATGAATTAGATTCAATAATAGTATCTACATCTATAAAGACTTTTTCAATATTCTTTATAATATAAACAGATGATGCTGTTCTTTCCAGTGTTGTCAAATGACACAGAAATGACATTGAAATGATATTAAATGACATCGATTTTACTATGAAAATGTATGAGAAATGACAAATGTCATTTGAAAAATGGGCAAATGATATGGCAATTTAACAACACTGGTTCTTTCCCCTGTATTATCATTCTTCATAGAAAAATGATCCTTTTAGTAGAATTTGTAAAAACAGAAACAGGAGTAGTATCAAATTGGGGAATACCGTCGATATAAACTTCTAATGGGGTAGCCCTCAAATCAAGTAGGTGAGAATCCCACACAACAATAAACTGATGCTATGGCTAATTTCTCATCAAGTTATAATGATGTGCTTTTGCTGCTTCAAATGCTAAATATTGTGCATTTGTTACAAGATGATCTGACTTACTGCTACAGGTATACCAGCGTCTGCTAATATTTTTGGTGAACGCGTACTTGCTTGAAATGCTTCTTTTTTATATCCCCATAAATCTGAAAATGTTGCTGTAGTAATCTGTGAACTTGCTCTTTTTATTACGTCTGGAATACGATATGCATCTAATGCATGGTGCTGTTATTGTAAAATTAAATTCTAATGAATTCTTATCATAGTTTCGGTATCAAACGTCTAAAATCAAAAGGGAACAAAATTTTTTAGCAACTTCACACAATATTTACACGATAAAAAAAAAGTTCACACATAAATCACCTCATAGCAATTATAGCATCTAAATAAAGCAATTAGACTGTCATATTATAAATCTTCGGGAAATGGGTTATTTAATTGTTCATTAGTAGAAATTTTAACCATCTCCATTCCTTTTCTTCTTCGGGATTAATACCATAATTTATTCCCATATCTTCTACTGATAATGTTGTAACTGGTCGCATTTTTATTACATATCCACTCTCCCCCCCATTAAATTTCAACATTGATGATGTTGTTATTTCCACTAATTGCTATACCACATGGAAAAGTTAATAATATGAATGTATTTTAGATAAAGAAAAAAACACTATTAAAGTAACTTTACCAGGGTCACTTGGATTTATCGCATCCTTCGCACGAACCTATTTAAAATAAAAAATTCGGATCAATTTTTGTTTTTTTTAAAAAAAAAATAAGAAAAATAATTTAATTTAAAAAAAGAAATAATTTAATTTAATACTAATAAGTGGATCTGTTTCTTCGTTACCATCATCTGTATCTCTTAAATTTGGCCATGACAGTATCACCAGTTACATTAATCCTTCGCTTAATCTCTTTCAAACTTAGAATAATACCATCTTTTAATATTAGATCACCGATAAAATCTCCACCAATGCCATCCAATATTCTAGCATTTTTTAGTAAAACATTTTTAGTTCCAGGAACAAATCTAGGATTTCCTATTCTGGATATGATTGTTATCGGGTTTAATCCTTTTTATTTCTTCACATTTTGATATCCCATATTTATACGTTTCGTATGATATACCACTTGAATATTGTGCAGATTTATGTGAAAACGAAGTATAATGAATTATATATTGTATATAATAAATCAAATATTATGAATGCTAAAAATGGTAGAATATTTTTTCAGATTTGGTATTTTTTTTATTAAAATCATTTTTAACTTGTTGGTTAACATTATTATATTTTGTCATTATCTCAAATTTTTTTAAACGAAAGGATATTTTTTTTTTCATCTTGATTCAAAGATAAAACTGATCTTAAATTATAAAGTCTGTACCATATATGAATTATATGATGTATATCCGATATGCATTTATTTTAATCTTTGATCTTTTTTATTTAATATTTTGTGATCCACAATTTATATTATTCAATTATGAATTGTATTATGAATTGTTATTAATGCAAGTAGTTAATAATAATAATTAATAAAGAAATACCACTATACTGTCAACGCTCGTTATAGTGAAGCTCGTTATAGTAAATTTGGCTTATAGTGAACTTTTTTTATTCCCCCAGTTCACTTGCTAATAAATCTTATAAAATCTCGATATTAGATGTAGTAAACTTTTTAAAAATTTTATATATTTATTTATTTTATTTATTTTATTTCAAGAGTGGTAATTAAAGTCTATTACAAATAACATGTATTTAGCACCAGAGTACTTAATTAAACAGTCTATATGTGTAGATCTCTAACTTTCATCCCATCTAAGCAGGACCACACCCTTCGTTCGGAATTATTTAAGAAAGTAGGACTACGCTAGTTAATCAAATTAAAAAAAAGAAAAATAACCCGGAAGCCATACAAAAGAAAAAGAGAGAACAACCACCCTACAAAAAAAGAAGGATCCGTATTTTGCTTTCGGCACAAGGTCGCCACTTATCAATACTGTCAGAAGTGGAATGGTTCACACTATTCTAAATTGTTTGTAATGCTAATGATGTAGTGTAAAAAGGAGTATTCTAATTACTACTAGGTAAAAAAATAAATGTTTCGGCTCTAAATTAATTTTCTTTAGTAAAAACGAGAGCATTTCCAACTGAGAGCCAGTAAAAAATTCTGTCGAAGGGCGTGCTTTCTTGTCCGGGTGGACGATTTTATGCGAATCTAAATTGGTGGACTTATCCACATTTCGTTTGCGTGGGCGTTTCTCAAGTTCTTTTGCTTCTTCCGAAGTAGAACCTTTGCAGCGATAATGAGCTTCATTGGCGTCAAAATGGAAAAATAATCCAATTTAAAATTTTGTATTGTGACTCTAATTCCGCCAGTTTCGCGGGTAATTTTGTTACGTTGTTCGTAGTATGAAGTCATCTTGATATGTTGTTAGATCACGTGCCATAGCTGCACGTAGATCGGATCTTTTGACGGAGGTGCCGAGTAAAGCTGCTTTTCTCTTTTCTAATCGATCAATATTTTCACGTCGTCGTGGGAATCTCTTAGTCTGCGTAACTCGGCATACCATTGTTTACTATCAGGTTCTAAGAGAATTCTTTTTTTTCGACTTTTCTTGAGATATAGTTGACCATCAGCTGGTATAAAAGGCTTTAGGTCCCCTGGAATATCGAAATCAGGAGCGGGGTTTACTTCACTTGTAGGTTCAACAGGAGTGTTCTGAAAAGGTATTTGGTCGTAAGTAAAGACCGGAGTTTGTGTATCTAATGGTTGAGGTGCTAGAATACTAGCAGAAGTTTGTTCTTGATTGAATGTAGTTTCTAGATAATTTGAACTTGTAAACCTCCTCACGAGGAAGAGTGTCGGATTTTTTGTATTTAAGATGAGTGATGGATTTGTTGATAATTTGTGAATTTAAAAAAAGGAAACGATGTTTCTTGGCCATAGCCGGTTTGTGTTCTACCTGGGATTTTTAAGTATTGTAGGTTGACTAAGGAAAATACGTATACAACGTCTTTCAAATCTAACGCGTTGTCTTTTCACGAATGACGAAGTTCACCAAATCTTTTACGATAAATATAACGTTTGTTGTGATTAAAAAAGAATTGACGTCCATTAGCCTGATATTTGACTACATGCGACGTCGAGAGTAGACGGTTTTAACGGGATTCACCGCCCATCTTTGATGTAGTGGGTTAGCATGGGAGATTTTATCATTGCCGTGATGATAAAGGTGATGGTATTGTGCAATCACAAGGAATAGTCAGAGTCTTAGAAGTTAAAGCATATTACATGGAACAAAAATTCCAGAATAAAATCGATACGTGAAGTTAAAAAAGGTTTTTGATAATTTGTTGTTCCGTGGAGAATTTTCGTTGGTTGATTATCGTAATTTCGACCTGATCATGTCGTAATATTTACTTTGTATTCGTCGTGAAAGTCGTGAAGCACTTTTGAAAGGAAAAAAATGCGTGAACATTTTGCTGATTTGGAATTTTATGTTGGGGAGTCTGCTCGTTGATTTGTACCGGATTGGGGAAGTGTTAATGTGATAATCATTTGTGTGTATCATATTCTCAAATGAATATCATTAGTGACTTAGTGTTTGAAGAAGGATCGGCTAGTTCAAAAAAGAAAGATCTTGATCTTATCTACTGGTTTCGTCACGTGAAGTTTTTTCAGGGAGGCCAGGAAGGAGTTTTTTGAAGGAGGAAAGTGACGGGTTTTGAGAAAGACATTATATTGTAAAGAAGGTTGTAATAATATTAAAATTTAATAAAATTTTAAGGTGTTCAAGAATATAAGATATGAGTCGTCACAAAGCAACTGTTAACGTAAAAATGTCATACTAATACACACGGTAAGACTTTAAAATAGCAAAAAGGACAAAAAGAAAAAAAAAATATTTTTATAAGCTGACAAGTATGAAAATCATCTATGTTATTCATGTTTATTTGTTACCTAATCATATGGTAGATTTGGCGCTACTGAAGATAGTTTTATATTCTCTTTTAAGAGTAAGGAAATATTAAAAATTATATTATAAGTCGAATGTCAATATTTCTTGGAGATTATGCTATATACAATCACATTGATTACCATGATATCATTTCCTTCATTTTCATCACTATTATAATATTATTAAAAAGTAACTGATCTTTCGTGGTTCGTGGATTCTTTTTTTTTCAGCTTCTTGTTTCATCCGTAATTATTACTTGTTGTTCAAATTTTGCACCAAGATCCGTAAGAAATAGATCAATTGTTTGATTATATCCTGTAATCAATCCCATTACTCCGTATAAAACATTATGAACACTAGTTTTTTCAGTAATGGTAACTCTCGTAGAGTTTTCGCTTATCTCTTCAAGTTCAATCGTCCAACTGCCGCAATGAACACCTTTCTCGCGTACAATCTAATTAACAATTATAAAAAAAAAAAAATAGTTCGAGTTAATGAAAAATAAAAAAGATCGATCAAAATTACAACAGTACCTCTCTCTTTAATAATTTGTTTTCCCAACGTTCTACAATACGAAACTTTATGTTTCCGAGTGGTGTAAATTCCCTAAACCACTCAAAACCATCGGGTGGAATATGTCCCGGTTGGTTAATTTCAACCTTTATAACGTTGGATCTCCATTGTGGGTAGGATCCAAATTTTATTAGTGTATTCCAAATTTTTTTCTGCGGCTGGGAATATACCGCGGTTCGACTACACACACGATCTTTAGGTATCAGAAAAATACCTAAAATAATTATTACAAGAGTAGTAACTACACCCGTTAAAAATAAAAGGACTAAAGATATGGATAAAGTGTCGGGAATACGAGTAGTTGGAAAATTTAAGAATGAAATCATTTTTACGTGTAAACTAGAAATAAAATGACGCGAAAATACATATGAAAGAAAGAATTTGAAGAATTTGAAAAAGTAACTGAAACCGTGACCGTGATACTTTCACTCGGAAAATCTTACCACCCTACCCTGTGATGTTTTTGGGGGACGTCTAAAGCATTTACCCCAGTATCACCGACACTTTTATAATTAAAATTCCACCCCCACGTGTCCGGTGACATTTAAAGGGAAGTGAAAAAATAATTTTGTGAGGCAAAAAAAAACTGTCCCTCAGATAAATATAACAGGGCGGACATGCTAAATATCACATTGCCGATCATTTGCCGATCATATATATATTGATTATCCCATTTTTTTGAGGCTTCGGGCAAAGCCATATTTGCTCAAAAAAATTACACTAATTATTTTATTTGGTAGTTTAGGTTATCAAAAATATACTATAAAAATTTTGTGGCAAAAAAAAATGTAATGCCAAAGTTAGCTTTGAGCCAAAATTTTCAATAATTATAGTATTTACCAATCATATGCCGATCATCTGCTAATTTGACTTTGAAGCTTCTGGCGAAGCCACAGATGTTCGGGCGAAACTTGAAACTTTTATAGTATATTATTTAGGTATTCAAGAATCTGTAGCTAAAATAAACCTGGATAATTTTTGATAACCCAGAAGTTATTGTTAAATAAATACTTGCAATTATTTAAGGTTAATAAGACTAATTTTTGGTATAGTTTTTATGAACTGTTTTAAGGGTTAATTCATTTATAATAAATAGAGAATAAAGTAAAATAATTGAATTTTATATATATTGTTCATTTTTTTATAAATAGTTTTTAAAATTTACAGAAAATACTTATAAAAATTGTATCAATTTTAATATAAAATATTATTATCTAATTTAAATATAATATAAAACAGCATTATTTTTTTTTAACTTAATAAAAAACAACACTTTTTTTGAATTTAATATAAAAGTTTTGAATAAATTATTCAATAAAATGTCAACAGATTCTACTTGCAGTTTTAATTCAACTGATTGCAAAGGAGCAATTAAGCAAATTACTAATAATACAAAAATTCCAATAACAAATAAAGAAATTATTTTAGTTGGCATGAAACTATGTCAAACTCACTATAATAAATTTATTATTAATGAAGCTCATAACCTTAAACATAATGAAACTTGCTCTCATCCAAAGCATGATGAATATAAAAGTCAATCAAAAAATACAAATAAAAGATCAAAAAACCTTAATCTTGAAAAGGTTCCAAAGAGATTGATGTTAATTTTAAATTTAGATGAGACTGCTAAAATTTGTAGCTTATGCAGAAAAAGGACAGATAAAGATCCTGATTATAATATATTAGAAGAATATAATGCACCAATTTCTAAAAAAGAAAATGATAATAATATATTAAATATAGGAAATCATGCTTATTCATTTAGAAAAGATGTTTTATACAGTGGAGATGAATTAAAGCAGTTTGAATCAGATTATCAAGAGATTATAACACAATTAACAATTTCAAATGAAATTAGTTTAAGTGATAAAATTAAAAAAATGTCTAACATTCTTTATAAAAATCAAAGAGTATTAAAACAAAAAACAATTTATGATCCTGATGAATTTAAAATTATGTTAGAAGAAGCAGATACAGATTTAATTGGATTTTTTGATGAATTATATAAGGGAACTAATCCTAATACAAAATCTGTTAAAACAAATAATAATAATAAGAAAAAACTAGTTTCTTTATGTTATTTTTTAGCTAGTATTAATAACAAATATATAAATGGAATTAAAGCAGATATTGGATCATATTTAGAAACTTCTGGAGCATCAGCTTCTTCTATTGATACACTTGCAAATATAGGATTATCAGTATCTCGAAGAACAGTAAATCGACAAAAAACTTATATTTCAGAAGATCATCAGTATACTGTAAATGACTATTGTTTACAAAACATTGAAAATATGTTTATACTTAATATTGATGATTATCATAATATTCATAGAAGAAATCAACCAACTCTATTAAAAACACATGACATTAATCACTTTGTAACAATTTTATTAAATTCAAATTCTAATATTCCTAAAATACCTTATTACTCATTAAACAGAATTCCAATTCATAATCCTAAAGGTGTTGATTTTAAATTAATTATAGATTATATTGATGTTAGCTTCATGAGTAAATTAGGAAAAAGTTATTATCAACAAAATGAAATGTGGAAGCAATATTTATCTGATGATTCTTATGAAAATAAATTGGAATTTCTTACTGTTCATAATTATGATGGACGTGTTCAAAATCAACAAGAACTAAGATCAATGAAAAATAGTAAGTTGGTGGATTTTATTTTACATCCTTTGCACAATACAAAGGATTATATTGAATCTTCAAATATTTTATTTAAAGTATTTGAAAAAATAGAACAAGAGGATTATTTAAATAATTTTGTAATACCTACAATTTGTGATTGGCCTGGTCAAGTAAATTTAAGAAGAGCTATTACATTAAGACTTAATAAAAAAGAAAATTCTGGAATTTCACCTCAAATATTAAGTATAATTCCTATGATTGGTCCACTACATATTTCTTTAAATAGCAGAGAAACATTATTTCAACAATATCATTTCTTTTTTGAAATGATATATCATGATCTCTTTGGAGCTAACAAGATTTTAGCACAAAAACCAAAGCCAAGACTTATTAATCTTATATTAAATTTAACATTTTATGGATGGAAAAATATTCGCAATTTAATTATTAATCGTTTTGGAAATATAAAAGATGTTGAATATTTAATGATGATAGATTTATTAGACAATTCTTTACCACTTACTTTAGATATATATACTAAACTTTTTAGATGTGGATTTTTTGAAGGATATTTAGAAAGTTTTATAAAAATTTGGATTTTATTTCAAAGATTGCATAGACATAATTATAATAAAGCACCACTTATATTTTTAAGTGATGTGTTTTATTGGACATTAAATGATCATCCAATACTAGATGTTTTAAAAAATAATTTACCAATTTTTAATGATTATTTTGTTGAAAATTTTCATAGTTCTCTTAGATATCAAACAGCTGAATCAAATATTGATAAACAAATTATACAAAAAGCAAAAACTATTGATATTGAAAGAAATGATGATGGATTTAAAAATACTTTTATTAACACAAGAAATACAAATATTTCAAAGGTTAAATTAATATCTTTAGAAAAGAAAGTTTCATTATTCTTATTATCTCTTTTTGATATAATTTATCATAATATTGGAAAATCAAGTAATAATAACAATAATAATATGTTTGAACTTCCAAGTTTTAATAATAGAAATGTAAATGTTAAGCTTTTTCCTTTAGCTTGGAGTACTTCAAATATACCTGATAATGATAAAATTTGTGATGCAGAAAATTGTCTATCATCAAATTCATCAAATATTATTTTAATATGTGGCCATAGCTATCATAAAGAATGCTTAAGTCTACTTGATGAAAAGTGTAAATATTGCTTTAATTATTTATCAGAAAGCATTAAAACAAATATTACTAGTTTGAATAAAAGATTATTTAAACCATTAAAAGATAATGAAATATCTGAATTTACAGAAGATAAAGGTTTAGATGAAGATTATGATGATGAAAATATTGATAGTCTTTTAGAACAAGAAGAATATAATATAAATAATCAATATGAAATTCAATATAATATATGGTTAAACTATAATAATATGTAAATGATAGATAAAAATCCTTTATTTTATTTTAATTTTAATAAAAATACTTATTTTCATTAAATTATAAAAAGTTTCCATTAGTAAAATTGCTTAATAATATTCTGATTTAGGTAAAAATTAATATACTATAATTCTGAAGTAAAATTAAGCTATTCTTAAAATTTTAGTATACATTAATATGTAAATTTTGCAAAAAATAACTGATAACAGTATTTTTCTTATGTGATATGATTGAATAAATGATCGACAAATGATCGGCAAAATGATCGGCAAAATCGTGATAAAATAGAGATGTCCGCCCTGTTGATAAATATAGCATAGGTAAAGATCCGTGTTATTGGCTGATTTATCAGTCATGTGATTCAATTTATGTGATCGACAAATATATGTAACGCGTTACTTTAAAAAAAGGAGTAAAAGACTCATATAAAAGTGGTGATACACTACATAACAATATACATCCAAAATTTACATGAGAGTTTAACAGCTCTTTCTCAACCAAGATCCGGTTTTAGCTTAAACAGATCCGACTTTAGGTTAGACTTCTCTTAATAGCAAATGACAAGAGGTTTTTGCAAGCGAAATAACGGACCCTGTGCTGTTTGTGGACTGCAAAATTCCAATGAAAAGTTTCGAAAATTAACTTTAGAAGCACTTACAAATGTGCAAAACAGTCCTACAGTGTCTTTATTGACAGTTCAATTGCAAGTGGATGATCAACTTTGTATAAAACACTACAATGAACTTATTTCCTATAAACGAAACATATCAAAATACAGTAAAAAAAGTGCTGATAAAGATTTATCATACAAAGGAGCAAAAAGAATTTGTTTAAGAGAAGAAGTGTATCATGATTTGCTAGATAATACACACAATCTAGAAGTTTTAGAGCAACGTGTTAAAGACTTAGAATTAGAATTGGGAGAATATATAACTAAATTAAAGGAGTCTTCAACTAATGGTAATGTTAAATACGAGAATTGGTATATAACATTATTATTAATAACATTAAATATAAATAGAGCCCGTAAGATTTTCACAGTTCTTTGGTGATCAAGTAGCTCGTATGACCAATATACTTTATCAACACCAAAAGGGAGGCAATTTACCTATTTTTGATCCAATAAAGTTTGTGGCGTTAATTGAAAGTCGGGATATCAATTTGCGTGGATTTTTTGATATTTTGTTTCAATCTATGAATCCAACACAAAAAAACCATGCAACAAAACAAATGCTTAAACAAAAAGTGATGATGTTATGCTATCAAATGGCAGCGTTACGTAATAAGCAAGT